CTCCCTATTTATTTCACAACCCCCTTCCCCTCCCCCTTTTCTGATGAAGGGTCTAGGCCCGAAACGTCAGCCTCTCTGCTCCTATGATGCTGCTTGGCCTGCTGTCTTCATCCAGCCCTGCACCTTGTTGTCTCGGATTCTCCAGCATCTGCAGTTCCTACTATCTCTGATCTATTTAAACACGATAGTTAAAATGCAAACAAAAGAAAGACGAATTTAAAGTAACTTAATTACTGGAAAACTTAACTGAATAATAGTCACAGAACCTATTACTAATTAACTGTTTCAATACAGTAAAATGCCATAAACACTAAAAGGTAAATTTGGGCACAGATTCTCACGTGCAGTTTTCCAAACCAGGAGGAAACAACATCGAGAGATTTCAGAGAAAATAGCGGCTCAGAATCATTAACTGAAGCTTCCAACTCTTCTGAGATAGCTTCAGACTGCTAAGGCTAAAAAAAACTAGGAAGCCTGGTCTGTGAGAGCTGACCACTCCCCTTTTCAAGGTTTTAAAAAAAAATCTGAAGGCCTCCTAAGTTATTTACTTATGCTGTTCCCAGTAGCCAGTTCTTTCCCTCTGCCTTTATAACCTCTCTTCAAAAAAGCCCAGGACAAAATAACTTTTTTAAAGTGACAGCATTGTTATAAAGTGGTGGATGTGGGCACAATTACAATATTTGAAAGACATTTGGATAAGTACATGAGTAGGGAAGGTTTTGGAGGGATAAGGGCCAAGTGCAGACAAGTGTGACTAGTTTACTTAAGGAACATGGTCAGCATGAACTGGCTGGACCAAAGGGTCTGTTTCCATGCTGTATGACGCTACAATTCTTTGCTTGTGTGAAAGCCTTTGCAATTCTTTGTGAGTTTCTATGGGTGTTCCCAACTTTTCACAGACCTCGATAAGTCTTTGACTGATCTGCTATTATGGAGGTGGCAACAGACCATTTAGAAAATCATAACATGATAAGAAAGAGTCAAAACATATTAGTAAAAGAGAAGCCGTGCTTGGAAAATCCATTCAAGTATTTTGAGGGCACAACTAGCTAAAAGGGATCCCGTGGATCATCAGAAACTGCTCACTAAAGTACCACACAAGATCAGAGCTCATGAGATAATGTATTAACAGAGCTTGTAGACTGGGTAACAGCCTGAAAACAGAGAGTGAGAATAAAATCGGCCATTTTCAAGTTGTAACTAGGTTCTAAACTCCATTGAGTACAGACCCGGAGTCCTCATATGACAGGCCCTTCATCCCTGGGATCATTCTTGTAAACCTCCTCTGAACCCCCTCCAATGCCAGCACATCCTTCCTTAGATATGGGGCCCAAAACTGCTGACAATATTCCAAATGCAGTCTGACCAGAGCCTTATACAGCCTCAGCAGTACATCCCTGCTCTTGTATTCCAGCCCTCTCAAAATAGATGCACCTACCATGTCAGAGTGGGGCTCCTGAGAACCAGGCAATGGCCAACTGCAACAGAAGAGAATCTAACCTTCTCCCTTGGACATTCAGCAGTATTAACATAATCAAACCTCCCCGCTATCATTATCCTGGGGGTTAGAGTTGACTAGAAACTGAAATGGACCAGGCATATAAAAAATATGGCTGCCAAAGCAATTTAGAGGCAATGTATTCAATGATGAGTAACTCACTTCCTGATGCCCCAAAGCCTGTCCACCATCTAGAAGGCACAAGTCAGGGGTTTGATGGGATACTCCCCACTTGCCTGGATGGGTGCAGCTCCAACAACACTCGAGGAGCTTGATACCATCCAGCACAAAGCAGCAGATTGGCACTACATCCACAAACATCCACTCCCTCCACCACCGACGCTCAGTAGCAGCAGTGTGTACCATCTACAGGATGCACTGCAGAAATTCACCAAAGATCCTTCCAAACCCATGACCACTTATATCTAGAAGGACAAGGGCAGCAGATACATGGGAACACCAGCCCCTGCAAGTTCCCCTCCAAGCCACTCACCATGCTGGCTTGGAAATATATTGCCGTTCCTTCAGTGTCGCTGGATCAAAATCCTCCCTAAGGGCATTGTGGGTCTACCTACAGCACATGGAGAAGGCAGCTCAACATCACCTTCTCAAGACCTTCGGCCCACCAAAACTGCACCAACACATGATGGTACTTTCATTTCCTAAAGGGAATTAGTGAACTACATGGGTTTTTCCCCAACAATTAATTGGTCATCATTAGACTCTTAATCCCAGATGTTTTAATTATTGAATTCAAATTCCACCATCTGCTGTTGTGGGATTTGAACCCAGGTCCCCAGAACATTATCTGGGTCTCTGGATTAACAGTCCAGCAATAATACCACTAGGCCATCACCTCCCCATCATTTATTCATTTGGTATTCATTTATACCTCAGCTATTCCCTTTGCCTCCACAAGAAGATCTCATTTTTGATCCATCCTTTTACTGTTGCTACGTTTATAAAACAGTTTCGGGTTCCTTTTAATGTTCAGCACAAATGTATTCTTAGTCTTTCTTTGCTGCTCTTATTCCATTCTTAAGTCTGTTCTGTACATTCCATACTCAGTTTGTTCTTCTATTGTATTATGGACCTTACATGTGTCATCAGCCTCATTTTCCTGTTTCATTTCAATCTCTGCATTTTCAAAATCTGCGTGGTTCTACCTATGCCTGACTTTCCTTACCACCTTTCAAGAACGTGTCCACCCTGGACCTCAGTTACTTTCTCTTCATTGGTCTCAAATCACTCATTTTCTTGTCGGTTTTTCATTCTAATCCACCTGAGTCAGCTCCATTTTCAGATCAGATCACTGAAGGTTGCTCTCCCCAGATTGGTATTTTCACATTTGACCAGCCGTTATACTTTTCTCTCACTATTCTCAGCCTAATGATATTCTGGTCACTGTTCCTCAAACTGTCTCCTGCTGAAGTATACTCCATGCAGAGAGTGGTACATTTATGGAATGGGCTGCCAGAGAAAGTGGTTGAGGCAGGTACAATAGCAACATTTCAAAAACATTTGGATAGCTACATGGATGGGAAGTGTTTAGAGGGATATGGACCAAATGCGGGCAATTGGAGCTAGCTGAGCGGGTACCATGGTCAGCATGGGCCGAAGGACCTGTTTCCATGCTATATTACTCTATGACTCTATGATTCCAATTTTCTCACTTCTTCCTGACAACTTAGGAAATTAGGAACAGGAGTAGGCCATTCAGCCCCCAGAGCCTGTTCCAGTATTCAATGTGGTCATTTCTGATCCGTTGCTGAACTCCATAGACCTGCCTTTGGCCCATATCTCTTAATACCCTTTGCTCAATGATAAAAAAAACTCTCTCAGATTTAAAGCTAACAACTGATTCAGCATCCACTGCCTTTTGCGGACAAGTTTGAAACCTCTACTCCCCTCTGTGTGTCAAAGTGCTTCCTAACATCTCTCCTGAACAGTCTGGCCCTAATTCTCAGACTATGCCCCTTGGTTCTAGAATCCCCAACCAGTGGAAATAGTTTATCTTTATCTGTCCTGTCAGTATCTTGAAGACTTGAATCAAATCATCCCTTAACCTTGTAAGGTCTAAAGAACCAGATCTAACAATTGGGCTGGAAACATCAAACCCCTACAGTGTGGGGGCAGGCCATTCAGCCCATCAAGTCTCCACCAACCATCTGAACAGCAGCCCACCTAGACCCACCCCCAACTCTATCCCTGTAACCCTGCATTTCCCCATGGCTAACCTACCTAGCTTGCACATCATTGAACTATGAGAGGAAAATCCACACAGACACAGGGAGAACATGCAAACTCCACAGTCATCTAAGGGTGGAATTGAACCCAGGACCCTGGCACTGTGAGGCAGCAGTGCTAACCACTGAGCCACCATGATTAAGTGCATGTTTCAACTATAACCTGAAATAGAAGCAGACTCCTGTGGTTGCTCAGAAAGGAAAACAAAGCACTGGAGAAACTCAGCAGGGCCTGCGCAGAGAGAAACAGAGTTCTGAAGAAGGGTCACTGGACTCGAAACATAAACTCAGTTTCTCTCTCCACAGGTGCTGCCAGACCTCCTGAGGTTCTCCAGCTCTCTTTCATGTATTACTTCCCCTCTTTATATGTAAACTGCTCTTATCCCAGTCTATATTAGGATGCTTGAAGAACCTCATTATCTCTGCTCTGTAGTTGTAGCATTTTTAGTAATTTGATTGCAAATGTGATCCTCTATCTCCTCCCCACTCTTTGGTGGCATTTGCTATATACTCTGCAGTGTCATAGTTCATATATTGTCTGGGTCTTTCTAGGTATAGATAGTCTTTACTGGGTTACACAAGTTTTTTGAGTTTTGGCTGGTCTTAATGTGATTTACAAATCTTCACATGTTCTACTGAGCCTTATTACACTTTATAACTTTTTACAAGTCTACGCAGATGACCTTATTAAGATAACTTTTTATGGGGTGAACCAATGGGGTGTCCCTCGCTCAGAGACAGTTAGACATCAACTGTATTGATGAGAGCACAGAGAGTCACATGTAGGACAGTCCGGGTCAGAAAAGCAGATTTTCTTCCGTAAAGAACATTAAAAACAGTTGGATTTTTAACGACAGCCCAAGAACTTCATGCCAACATTTTATTTCAAGGTTTTTCTTTGAACCAAATTCAAATTCTCAAACGATCATGAGTGAGATTCGAGCTCCCATTCTCTGGACCCATAACTAGCATACAATTACACCCACTTGCCACCAGAAAGCGCTTTGATTTCAGTCAGTGGTAATTGACAACATTCGCATCCAGTAACCTGTCTGTTGTCTTTCTCTCAGGGCGTTGTGTTGGGCTGTTACTTTGGTCCTGCTGCTCTCTACATTTGGGCCATTGGCATCCTGGCTGCAGGCCAGAGTTCGACCATGTCGGGGACATATACAGGGCAATTTGTCATGGAGGTAATCCTTGCTTTAAGACCTTCTTTATGCACTTCTAGTCTTTAAGGCTCAAGGGAAGCAATTCTAGTGCTGGAGCAAATGTAGAGAAGAGCCATGCAATTGGCTCCTGTTTCAGGGATCTGGATTACATGGAGAGATTGAGGCTGCTCAACCAGCAAAGTAGGAGACTCAAAGAAACAAGACATTAAACAGGATAGAGCTATGGAGCCTTAATAACAAGGAAAAGGCCCTTCGACCCATTGTGTCCACATCATGTCCACACTAGTCATCACAATTTAATCTATTCCAGTCCTAATTTCCAACATTTGGCCCGTAGCCTTGTTTGCTATGGCATTTCAAATGCTCATCTAAATCGTTCCGAAATGTCTTGAGGGTTTCCGTCTCCACCGACCTTTCTGGCAGTGAGCTCCAGATTCCCACTACCCTCCGGGTGAAAAACTGTTTCCTCAAATCCCCCTCCTAACCTCCCGCTCCTTACCTTAAAACTGTGCCCCTGGATATTGACCCTTCTGCTGAGGGGAAAGGTTTCTGAAATTGTAGACATGCTCGCTGAGCCGGTGTGTTTGCTGACAGAAGTTTCGTCCCCCTGCTAGGTAACACCGTCAGTGCGCCTCCGGTGAAGTGTTGATGTTCTATCCCGCTTGTTATTTATATGCCTCGGTTTGCTGGGGTGGTTGGCATTACTTCCAGTTCGGTTTTTCAGTGGTTTGTACACAGGGTCTAACTCAATCTGTTTGTTGATGGAGTTCGGTTGCTCTCTATCTATCCTGTCTGTTCCCCTCAGAACTTTATACCCCTCAACCAGGTTGTCCCCTCAGCCTTCTCTGTTCTCAGGAGAACAACCCCAGCCAATCGAGCCTCTCTTTATCGCTGAATCAGTCCAGCCCAGGCAATATCCTGGTGAATCTCCTCTGCACCCCCTCCAGTACAATCATATCCTTCCTATAGTGTGGTGGCCAGAACTGCACACAATACTCCAGCTCTGGTCTAACTAACGTTATATACAGCTCAAACATAACCTCGCTGCTCTTGTAAATAAAAACCAAAAGAACTGCGGATGCTGTAAATCAGGAACAAAAACAAAGTTGCTGGAAAAGCTCAGCAGGTCTGGCAGCATCTGTGAAGGAAAAAACAGAGTTAACGTTTTGGGTCC